CGTTTAGCCATTTTTTTCACTATTCGGTTCATCTCTACTACTCTCCACGTCATCATTACCATCATCGCCCATCATTTTCATCACCATCATCATCTTTGTTGTCATCATTCTTATTATTATCATCATTATCATCTTTTTCATTCTCACCATTATCATCATTACCACCACCACCATCATCATCATCATACCCACCAAAACCATCATCATCATCATCATCATCATCAATCCCAACACCACCATCATCATCATCATTCCAACCATCATTATCATCATCATCATTCCCACTATCATCATCATCATTCCCACCACCATCATCATCATTCTCACCATCACCATCATCATTCCCACCACCACCATCGTCACTCCCACCATCATAATTATAATAATTATAATAATAGTAATAATAATAAGTAAAAGAATTAAAACGATCGTATAGCACTATTTCAAAATCTTACAACTGCCTGTTGTATAAAACTGATTTTGTTATTTTTATTTTTTATACTTGAATGTGTTGTTTATTAAATGTTGAATAAATTCTACACAGCTGTTTCAGCAGTGCAAACGAATATATAATAATAGTAAAAAATAAATAAATAAATATTAATAAATATTAATTAATAAAGTAATAATGACAATAAATAAATAATAGATAATAATAATAAATATATAGTAACAGTAAATAAATAATGTTAAAAATAATAACTAATAAAGAATAATAATAATGAATAATAATGAATAAATTAATTACTAAAAAATTATAGTTTGGTAGACTGGAGTGAGTCAATTAAAATAAATAAAAAATTTTATACAACAAATAAATTATAATAGTAAATAAATAATAATAATGAATAATAATGAATAAATAAATGATAAAAAATTGATGAAAGATAAAAAATAATATATTTTAAAATATTTCATTTTGGTGGGCTGGAGGGAGTCATCCTACCCACCCCAACCGTGCCCTTAAGCTAGGAGCAGAAATTATGAAAGTGGTTCCAGTGGTGCGAATTTAACATCATCGAAGTTGTCTCGCATTGAATTACACAAATTGCCAGTTGTAAAATTCACTTTTTTGACT